ATTCAATCCGTAAGACTGAAGTTAGTAGGTGAGTGTGCTCGGCTGGTGTCTTTTATGATATTTTTTATAATGATATCATCCTAATCGAATTCATCAAAATATAGTTAAGGATTAAAATTTCGATAAGATACATTCTCTACTGAGTAGATCTTATCGTATCTTTTAGGTTTCAAATTTCAATACATCTGTTTATATGTATTTTTGGAAGTTTATTTTTTAAAATTATATAGTTATATTTGAAATTCAAATTAAAAATAAGAAAAATGAAGAAATTGAAGAGAGTGTCCTTATAAATATCAATACACCTCTACTAATACACAGAGATGTAATCGATACCTTACCATGGAGATAGTAATTTTTGTAAACAGGAGTATCACGGTTCGGTCATGAGCTTTTTTTTTTTTTGTAACCGAATTGATATTATCAGTTTTTGGAAAACTGATAACTGAAATTGAATCGAAAACAATCGATTAGTCGATTGACCGGTTCGATTAACCATCAATTCAGTTTGTCGGTTTTTTAATATTTATAATATATATTATAAAAATATATAAATATATAATAAAAAATTATAAATATATATAATATTATATTTTAAATAATAAATAATATATCATATATTATAAATATATATATCAATCAATTCAGTTAACCGCCAACTTTTTTATATTAATTAACTGAAACCGAAATAATATCTTCGATTTTCTAAAAACACCGAATCAACTGGTTCAATTAACCAAGTTTTCGATTTGGGTTTTCTGTTTTTTGTACTCACCCCTAATAAACAGTAATATTAAAGGAGAGACCAGGATCTATATAGATCGGCAGATAGGGGTCCCCCTCGTATGCACTATGGGTTATAGCCTATAGAAATGAGAGCACGGAATTAAACCGACTATTGCCGCATGCCCCACTCCCACCCTCAGTCCCTTGCTAAGTCATCCGGAGATATTGGAGGCATCCAAGTGGAATATGGATCATGAAATATCTTTTTTTTTTTTTTTTTCTTTTTGGATCAAGAAATATCAAAGCAAGGGGCTTTGGTCAATTTCAATCCATATTGGCTCTTGGTTGAAGTACTCGATGTCGGCATGGGGCGTGGACAGGGTGAGCAAATAGTTTATTCGGTCTAAAACTAAATCGAATAAATGAATTTTTTAAAACCAACGTTTGATTAAATTGAATAAATCGAATTGAATTTTTTTTCTAATTAATTAAGTTGCTTCGGTTAAACTAAACTTCAAATAGGTGGGTCATTCACTGATCCCACCAAAATGCAAAACATTATAACTTTAAAAAGTTTGACTTGATAACTCCTGAAAAGCTAAAAAAAATAATAAAAAAAATAATAACAGTTCAATCTTGCTCATCGTTGCAGTCTTGCTCATCGTTGTAGTCTTGGAGAATAACAGGAAAACAAAAAAGAATAACAATTCGGTCTTGTTCTACGTTGCAGTTTTTTAAATTCGCAGATGCTCACCATTGTAGAATAACAGAAAAAAAAAAAAAAAGAAAAGATTCTTAGATGCTCACTGTTGCAGATGCTCACAGGGTGCGTACAGTTGCAGAGACAACAGAGTTCACTCTTCAGTTTTCACCGGAGAAGTTGAACTGGAACTCGCTACTGCCACCTGCTGTTGGATTAACTAGTGTTACCGGTCGCCGCTCGCCGGTGGTAAATGACAGAAGATGAAGCCCAGCCAAAAGGTTGCCGACGCCTGGGTGGGAAGACAAAGTCCTGAAGGGAAGTAGGCAGGGGTTTTGCGTTTTTTTCGAAATTGCTATTGCTATTAGGAATAGGATTTGGGAAATTAGGAGTTAAGGCTAAGACTTAAGGGAAGCTATTTTACCTATTTATCCATCAAAGTTCGATTTTTTCGATTAACCAAACTATTAAATACCATAACCGAAACCAAAAACTGAATTCTAATAAATCGATATTTAAAACCAAAACCGAACCGAGTCCCTGAACTAATCGACTTGAAAACACCCGAATTTTCAGTTCGGTTATTCAGTTCTAACCGAATTATGCTCACCCCTTTGGCCTACAAAACGGGGTTAAGCGGGACGGAGTGTAGCGGGAGATAAACGTTGTCTTCTTATTTGTTGTGTCCGTTATATGATTCGTGAGAGAGGGAGAATCCTTGGGATAGTTGGGTTGGATCTTAGCCTCTTAGGCAATGCATCAGAGGGAGTCCGAATCATAAAATCAGATATAAATTTTGAACGACCAGAGAATAAGTGCAGTCAGTTGATCAACCTGTTCCGGGCATGAAATGATGATCTGCGACATGTTTCATAGCGATCAAAAATCAGCTAACCCAAGCTGGAACTTGGATTTATTTCGACGCACACCCTCACCCTGAGCATCGCAGCTGTGTATTGCTAATATCTTTTCGAGTTGGGCTTCGATCAGGGCTTTGGAGCAATTTTTACTGTCTTGCATTCTCCATATTTATGAGAGCGCTGTAAAATTGGTGTGAGTCGCGCTCTATAAGGAGCGAATCCTATCTCCTCAAGCTGGGGTTGGGATCGTACTCGTACCTTCTCCTCGTGACGGAAAAGAGAAAAGAATATGAAAATTTCTTGCCCAGTTGCACTATGCGGTACCTACCATGGTGTATGGCAGTGTTTTTGAACGGTTGTTGATCTTAATAGTTGGACCATTCAGTGGGGAAACCGTTCACGATCTTAATAATTTAACCAAAAAATCGTTGAATTGATGACTCGCTGATTATTTGGGCGGTCAAACCATTAATCCGTTAGACCCATTGTTTTTAAAACTGAACCGGTGATCGAACCGGTCAGGGGTCCAGTTACCGATTCGAAAGGTCTAATTGTTCGACATGAATGGCTGTCCCGTTTTGACAAAAAAAATAAAAAAATTAAAAAACGGTAAAAACCGTTCAAACAGTTCGAATGATTAACAGGCCAGTTCAGCAATTTGCTGACCAAAATCAATGGTTTTGGGGGAAAACGGACCAATTCCCAATTTTTCTGGTCCGGTTTTGAAAACCATGGTTAGACCTATTCAATGATTTTTAACTGTTTATTTATTTTTGGGTTTCTACTATATATGGGCAACTTTTTGTCCTTAATATCAATAAAAGTTAATATTTTTATATAATAACTAAAAGGGATTTTTATAGTTCAGTCCACCCCTAGGGTGGAGCTAAGATTTCTAGGGGTGGACTGAATCCTGGATTGATGCCAAATCCACTTATCTCTAACTAAAATAGGATAGTTTTATTGGAAAACTATAAAAAAAGGGCAGTGGATACTATTGCTCGTCTTCCCCCTCTGCCTCTATATTCATGGCCTCATGGGAATGGATCATAAGATTCCAGCTAGGTAATAACCGGAAATGCTCTTCACGTCCCAGAAAGAAAACCACCGGCCACATTTGAGGTTTTGGCTTGTTTGGCGATCTTCACTGAGGTGTAGAAGGGATTCGCTGTTGTGTTGGTGGCCACGGTAAGATGCGTTTAGGAAGGTGAAGACGAACTCTGACAAGTTGGGCAGTAAAAGCATGATCACTTGACCGGTAAATGATTTCCTTTTGCTTCGTTGCAGTCTCCACCGGAGCAGCTGGAGCCATTATAGTATAGAAATAAGTTTCACAGAGAGAGAAAGAGTTCGGGTTTGAAGTTGACTGGGATCTTAAAATTGTTGACTCCACTTTGACTAAAGAAGCAATAAGACATTTCACAATGCCACTTATGATTTTACCTAACATAGTTTCTCCTGAGAATCCGGTCATAATTACTGCCGGCGACCTTAACCTACCACGGTAGTTTAGACGGACGCTATGAAGAAGAAACCATATTSCATTCGCATGAATAGAAAGATAGAGAAAGAACGAACAACAGTATCCACAGCCCTTTCTTGATATTTTAAATTGGAATAAGTCATTCATTCAAACCGGACGGTCAATCCGTAATACCATTCGGTACTCTTAACCAGATCACTTTATTTTTATGCATAAGACAAAAAATTAAAAAAAAAAATCAGTGCTGGTAAGTTAAAAATCAAAATCGAAAAAGTGATGGATGTGGGAGGTATTAATTTCTGCCTTTTGTAATTTTGGAGTAGAAGAGAATGTAATCAGTGTATCTATAATATAATTGAGGGTGTAGTAATCCAAATTACTACCAACCTTCACTTGTCATGAAGGCTAAAAGTCAAAAGATACTTCACGAAAGCAAGGAGGGCTCACCCCTGTATGACACGTATCAATCACACGAGTACAGGTATCCTCCCAACAAAAGACCGTCACAACATTATCTCTGTCAGCAAATATCATGTTGGAGCATGCATTGTTGGGATAGTTTTTCTCTTCTGAATCAGGAGATCCCAATTCACGTATCACGTGAAGAAGAGAACTAATCTTATGAACAGCAGAGACTGTGGTAACGTTCACAGCCGAGGTTTTATGGTACACCTCGTCCCTAGCTTAGAATATTAGGGTTGGATTTACCCATGTCGATTTCGCAATGTGGCTATCACGCGTGTCTCTGACGCGGTACCTACTTAACAGTACRGTTAACATCTTGACTCAATGTAAATGTAATAGCCTTTCATCATACACCATGAATCGACGGTGATGATATAAGAGTTCATTTTTTGGTAGGATGCGGTTTTAATCTTACCCTAAAATCATGAATCACCGGCCTTCGATGTATTGACGTGGGCCTCACTTTGACGTCACTTTTAAGGCTGTGATTGCCTAAAACGTAAAAATCACTTCCCAGCAGCAAAAGTAGATTGAAGAAGGTGTGTCGTGTGTGACCTTTCGCGCAATTTAAAAAACAGTCAAAGAAGGGATCGTCGAAGTCACCAAGGAAGCAGGGGATTCGCTTTTGCTGCGGTAATGTGGTAGCGTAAGATTAAAACCGAGAATCATAGCCTTAGATCATGTATAGCCGTGATCATCAACACATCACCTTTTCATTTAAGGTGGGGTCATACCAACGCATTAAAGGCTTTGATTTAGTTGTTATAGCGCGGAGCTACAATTTTGCCGTAGCAAGAAGTAGTTTGGAAATGTAAAAGCACCTTATTAAAGAGACCACAGGAAGACGAGGAAATCCCCCTCCCTCCATGCTCCATCGACCCAGCCAAGATGCGTAACATGGCTACTAGCGCCTCACCTAGAGGCGTCGCTGCTATCGTCGGCGTCGGCCCCAAGCTTGGCCGCTCTATTGCCCGCAAATTTGCTCACGAAGGATACACTGTCGCCATACTCGCCCGAGACCTAGGCATTTGTTTCTCTCTCTCTCTCTCACGCACACACGAACATACATAGAGCCACAGAGGATATCACTAATTCCTCCCGAGTCCTCACTATATCGATGTATGTATACAGGGAGATTGTCAAGATTCGCGGACGAGATAGCGAGAGAAGAGAAAGCCCAAGTATTCGCGATCCGCATCGACTGCTCCGACTCTCGGAGCATTAGGGAGGCGTTCGAGGGGGTTCTATCTCTTGGTTTCGTCGAAGTTTTGGTCTACAACGCATTCCAGCCAGTCTCATGGCATCCAACCAGCTTCGCCGATGTCCGCATCGAATCCTTCGAGAAATCTCTTGCCGTCTGTACAGTCGGTGCTTGCCACTGCGCCCAACAGGTTTTCTTTTCCTACACTACCCCTACTACTCAATACTCATCCATTACAGATTGAGATAGTTCCAGATAAGTTTCATTGATGTTTCTTGTCTTTAATTTTTTGCCGTGAATTTTGATTTCTTCATTTTTTCTTTTTTGCTGTTGGGGGATCTGGATCTCCAAAGGTTCTCCCGGGCATGGTTGATAGGGGGAAAGGAACTATTCTCTTCACCGGCTGCTCCGCTTCTCTAAATGGCATTGCTGGTCACTCTGAATTAAGTAATTTTAATCAACTCAATTCGTTTGTTCTTTTTTTCCTAGAAGAAATCGCCAACAGTTAAAAAACAAAAGAGAAAAAAAAAACTTCTTTTCCCTCCTGCAAATTCTACTTCTTACAGAAACCAAAAACGAAAGAAAGGCAATTGAATTTCATTAAAATTCACAGGCTGTGGAAAATTCGCCCTGAGAGGTCTTTCGCAATGCCTGGCAAGAGAGTTCCAACCGTTAGGCATCCATGTGGCTCACGTTATCATCGATGGCGTTGTCGGCCCACCTAGGTTCTATCATTCTCCTTCTTTCTTTTTATTTTATTTGTCAAATTCATATCTCCATGTCTTCTTGAATTTTTGATCGAGAGAGAGAGAGAGAGAGAGGGAGAGAGAAACACAGACATAAAGCCATGGATATTGAATGATGACAGCGCAAATAATAACGCTACATGGTTTGGCTTCCAGATCACCATCGGCTTCTCATAGTCATAGATCGTTGGTTGGGGAGCAACAAGGGGGAGGAGATGGGTCCATGGACCCAGACGCTTTGGCTCAGACGTACTGGCACTTGCACGTCCAGGACCGGACGGCTTGGACCCAAGAGATCGACCTTCGCTCTTCCAACAACAGATATTTCTGATTCTTGTTTCTCTTATATGCTTAATTATATAAATTGCATGTTAGTGCTTCCCCGTCAGCTTTTTGTGTGTGTTTTCATTCTGGGTATATAAGCAAACCACAAACGCTTCACTTTTGTTTTGATTAGTTTCATAATTCCACAATTCTATGTGATCAGTGTTGGGTTGGGCTTGTTTCATATACAAATTTACAGCTAACTAATTAGTTTGGTATTTTACTACTTTCCATCTCTGTCTGTCTGCGTCTGTCTTTATCCATTTCTGGGCTGCTGTTTTGGATGTAGTAGTAGAGGATGGGCCACCTAGCAAAAGGCGCGGGTTTACGGGGAACGGGAATTAGGAAAAGTGTAATGCATGGCCGTGAGGGGGAGTTCGTGTCATCACAGAGGACACACACAACTGTGGGTAGCGTACGTACTTGGTTGGTATGCTCTTTGAGTGTTTCAGTACTCTCAGTCTTCACATGAAAGAGAGAGGAGAGTGGGAAAGCTGGTTTCAGCTTTACCTGAAATGGACAGGCTCGATAGCCGTCACCCAGTCGGAGCCTACTTGTTGCCTGCCGAGTCGTAACCCTCGGGCATGGATTTGAGTGTTCAGTGTATGGGGTCAATCGTCCGAGTCAACCGACAGGCTTCGTCCAGCCCTGTCACACAATGTGGGGTCTGTTTGTTCTTGGTATTTTTTTTAATTACTGATTTGAGACTAAATCAGCCCCTACAATGTCCTACAGTACATTCCTGTCGTGTATTGAGAACATCTCTCGATGATGATATCATYATTCTGGATATTATCATAAAGATATATTCTCAATATACACGGCAAGGAAGTGCTGTGAAACATTGTAGGGGACAGTCTTGTAGGGGGTTGATTTGAACTCTATTGATTATATTTATAACAACTTCATTTGCGATGCCTAAATTTGTTCTTCTATATAACATATTTTACTTAAATTATATCAAATGAACATTCAATTGGAGAATGCAATGTATTGACATGTTTGGTTATTATCAAGCTAAAGACCTATTAACTAGCTATAATCAGCCTTTAATGATACCCATTTTGTAATATATATTCAATYCCTCTACCTAGGTTTATTACTTAACAGGCTTATTTGTCTATGTATAAATACTTAAAACATCTTTACACATTATCATCAAATGCTTGAACCTCCCATCACTTTCCCTTGGATAATATAATATAAAAGGGTTATTTATTCTTTCAGTTTTATTAAAATTATAAAAATTAAATCCAAATATTATATATTATATATGATTAATATTAGATTTTAAAAATAAACCAATTAATATTTAATCCTTTATTCAAAAAATGAATCTATCATTAACATATCTTCCAAAATGATTTATGGCCAACCATTTCAATTATTTTTTATATACTTGTTTGTTGTCATTGATGAGTCGTAATTGATATGTGCAACTATAGATCATGCTGGAAGCTGTGTTGGTACAGAATGGATGAATAGAATTTATTAGAAGCTATGGAACCAATGATAATATCCCACGCTGAACATAAATGCAAAGTGAGATTCAGTGGTATATGCACTTTATGATTGACATGGGGTGTAATTATTGGTCCATAGCTCACAACATAGYCATCAAATTCACTGCCAACATTTCTAAGGAGTGTAAATAAATTCATACTTAAAAACTTAAAACAAGTTTAATAATTTTCCAATGTAAGACAACTTAAAAACTAGTTTTAATAAGAGAAAAAACTATTTTTCAAGACATGTGTGCAAGTGTATTTTTCATGTAATTGATCAATCAAACTCTATTAGATTTAATCTCTAATGAAATTAAAATCCAACATAAATATTTATGGAGAACCATTGTGGCACCAACTTGTTTGGCTTAACATTTACTCGTGAGATGTTTGCTTTCATTTGTAAGGTCATTCCCTAGAAAGAAAAAATCCAACCAGGCAGACTAAACAAAGGAAGATGCGTCAGAATCAGATCTAATCATGCTTGACTTCTGTCGATATCTCTTCACAGGACTATTCTTGGACACTAGTTCTAACAATATATGGCTCCGTTATGCATATGAAGGATTAACCATGTACTGTAATTATTGCGGCTTGGTTGGTCTTGGGTGGCATTCCTGTAAACGACGTCCATCAGAAATTTCAGATGAAGAGTTCAAGTCACTTATTGATGAACATGCTCAATCGACTATCCTGATGACTGGCTACGTGCAGTGCAGAATATCTATCTAAGCACCCACTCAAACTATCTAAGTTCAAAGAGTGAAAGAGGTTCCACCTCTACCTAATGGGGAAAATTATGACGTCAGTGGCTCAATGCAGTCCACTTATCCCTAATTTTTTCTATTTTTATCTATTACCATGACTCTCTTATATTGAAACACCTGGGGATGTACGGGAAAGGAGACTAGAAGGCAGTTACACCTCTTAATCAGCAAACACAACCTAGATTTCTTATTTCTCTTGGAAACAAAATTCAGTGAAGAAAAAACTAATAGCTAGACTACTCAAAAACTTAAAATTCAAACACTCTAATATCCAAGAGGCAAGAGGAAACAATGGTGGTCTTATTTGTGCTTGGAAATCCAATATTATGGTTGATGTGTTAGCAAACGCGAAACATCATATTGAACTTTTAGTTAACTCACACCCTCAATTCTGTAAATGGATTGTCACCTTCGTCTATGGTCCACCACAAACCTTTTTGGAACCACTTGGCAAACCACTCTGATCCCTCAAATCTGCCTTGGTTAATCCTAGCTAGGTGATTTTAATGCTATTAGTAACAGTTCAGAGTATTCAGGATATATAATTGAAAACCAAGTGCCTCATCTCTAAAAGCCTAAACATCTTTAAAGACTCACGGGAGCTGGTGGATTTGGGCTTCATCGGACCTCATTTTACTTGGCCAAATAACCAACCGGTTAGACAAATCTTGGGAAAATCCCCAATGGTTGCAATTTTTTAGTCTTACCAAAATCTTTCACCTCAACCCCATCTCCTCGGATCATTCCCCCGTACTAGTTAATACCATCCCCAACATTTTTAATACCAAGAAACCTTTTCACTTCCAACCCATGTGGAGTGAGAGTCATGAATGCGAGGAAATCTATACTATATATAAAAGTGTAAATGCAATGTAAATTTTTTTGGACTAAAATTTAACCTCTACTTATTATGTTTGAGAAAAAGTATAAAAGACACTTTATTATAACTTTTAATAGTTAGTAAAATGCCCATAGTTGTGTATTTAGTCCATATCTAATGGTAAGGTTGAAAATGTAATTTTAATTATTACTTCCCACCTCATTTAATCCCCTCATTAAGTCTAATACTTAAATTATTAACTCCCATTTCTCTTATTAAATTAAATATATGTCAATATATTTAATAATATAAACCCATATTTTAAAATTGACTCAAAAACAAAACCATTTTTACTCCAAGTGGTGGCTAAGCAATTCAACCATCCGAATCAAATTGATCAACCTACAAAGTCATAGTTATGTAATAACTTTTTTAAAATAGAAATAAATATAGATACTTACAAAAAATGTAGAAAAAATCAGACACATTTATGATATTTTTATTAATCAAATTAAAAAAAATATGTGCAATAAACAAGAATTATTTTATTGGTAATGAAAATGAAATACATAATTTATAATTGACCAAAAATGAAATTATTTTATTGTTTGACAAGGATCAATAGTTCAATTTTTAGGAAAAACATGTTAACCTTTAATGTCATAAATAAATAACAAAAGTTAATAAAATATAAAAATACATAAATTTTGCAAAAAAAAAACATTTAGGCACGTGTATAAAATCATATATTTATCACATTAAACAAAAAATAAGTGTAAAATATTAGAATTATTTTTATAAACAAAAATATAAAAAATTATAAAAAAATTGAACACATCTATAATTCTATATTTACACTACTATTAAAAATATGAATAAGATTGTAGAACTTTCTTTTGACTAAAATACTCATTTTTGAATTTAGTCCCTATTTAATTATGAAGTTTAAATTATAAATTGAATTACTACTTTTCACCCCATTCAATTCCCTCTATTTAAATCTTACATTTTTTGATAAATGCACAAAAAAAGATACACCAAAATATTACAAAAAATAAGAATCTAACCAAGCAAGTAGGCCTATCAATGATACTTGAAACTTCACAACTCGATCTGATTATCATATATTTGGATGAAATGCTTTTATAATCAGACTTGAATTTGTAATCTGCATCCGATCAATAATAAAAAACAAAAAACAAAAAATATATAAAGTTTATAGAAAAATTTGGATAGATTATTACTATCATAATCATTATCTAGAATTACCTTGTGTAAAGCACATGTACACTTACCTAATATTCCAAAATGTTTGGAATAACATTTCTCATGGTCATGCAGCTTATTATTGTCTTGTTTCTAAACTTTGTTTCCTAAAARATCATTTATGGAGTTGGAACAAAGAGCATTTTGGATGGATTTAAAATAAACTTTCAAAATTAGCAAGCTAGATGGATAGGTTGGCTATATCTGATGATGAGGGGTGTGAGCTTCACAAATTACAATTGGAATATCTGCATTGGCTCAAGCATGAAGAAAGGCTCTGCAACTCAAAATCCCAACAATTTTGAATTGAGCTCAAAGACAAAAGCACCAAATTCTTTCACCTCGCAGTTCAACAAAGAAGACGAAGCAATAATATTGAATGAATGAAATATGATTTCGGCAATGAACTTCTTACTAGAGAAGATCTCACCTAAGGACTGGAAAGAGAATATTTTAAACATGCAGGTGAATCATCGCTTCTAAATTTGGAAGTTTTGAGTCATTTGTGTTTATAGCACTTGACTTTGGAACATAAGGAAGAAATTGTTCGGAGGCCATAGAAGTGGAGATTAAATAAAGAAGTGGCCTTCCAACTGGGACCTCACATGGCATCGGGCCCTGATGGCTTTACAACCTACTTTTATAAAAAAATACTAGCATATTGTGGACCCCATAGGTATGCAGATGATTAATGGATTCTTTGACAACTAGAGGATGTTGAAGGAATTAAATCATACCAATATCATTTTTATTCCTAAACTCTCTGGTCCGGAGCACCCATCACACTTTATACTCATCAGTCTCTCTATAATGTTTCATACAAAATCATTGCCCTTAATCAATCAGGCTTTACCCAAGGAAGACAAATTACTGATAACATCATTCTGGCCAGGGAGATTCTTCACTACATGAAAAGATCTAAAGCAAAGAATGGCTGAGTGGCCATTAAAATTGACATAGGCCTTTGATAGAATGGACTAGAAAATGTTTTTTAAAGTAATTGAACTCATGGATTTCCCTAATGTACTTGAGTTCATGGACAAATTATTTTTAAAGTACTTGCACTCTACAAATTTGTATTTATGTTTTTTCAAACTAAGCCTTAAGTATGTTTAGAAGGAATACAAATACAAATGTAAAGTGTAAAATCTTGTATTTTATATTATTTTGTATGTATTTATACTGTATATATTTGTATTTGTACTCTTTTCAAACTGAGCTGGCTCAGTTCGGAAGGAGTACAAATACAAATATATAGAGTACAAATACATACAAAATAATACAACATATAAGGTTTTGTGCTCTACATATTTGTATTTGTACCTCTTCCAAATGGAGCCTTAAGTTTGGAAGGAGTACAGATACAAATATATAGAGTGCAAAACCTTACATTTTGTATTATTTTATATATCTGTACATATTTATATTTATACTCTTTTTAAACTGAGCCTCAAGTTAATAATATAGTTCAGTTGGGCATCCCTCCAAATGTGGAGGTGTGGGATGAACCCAGCATTACTAAAAGCTCTCTGTGATAAGTAATGCTTTTTAACCGGTGTTGATTCGGACGGTCGGACCGTTTGGCCCGAGAACTGTCCAGGCAATTGGTTCAGTTTTACCTCAAACCCATAATCTGATAAAAAATCGTTGAAAAAATCAACAAACCGTTGACCTGTGCGGTCAAACTGTTGACCCATTCAATGGTTTTGACCATTTTTTATTTAAAATGTTAGGGTGATTTTTATTTAAAATATACTCTGTATGTGATATTGGTTTTTTAATATATTTACTAGCATTAGCATATGCTTAATTTTATTAATTTTAGAGGTCATTGAATGGCATTTTATTCATCTATTTATTTTTTATTTTTTTAATTTTGGTGTATCTGTTATTAAGAAAAAATGAATCTTCATACCACTTTATACATTATCTCATTTTCCTTTTGGCTGTATTTGATTTGAATGAAAATGTAGGAAAAAGTATAACAGGTTTCCCCTACTTTTCTCTGCCTAAATTCACCTTTGTTTTTTTACCATCGTATCTGCATTCATCCTAGGCTCAGTTTGGAAGGAGAGTGCAAAATCTTGTAATTTGTATGTATTTACACTACACATATTTGTATTCCTTCCGAACCGAGTTTTAATATTTGAATAAATAAAAATAAAAATAAAAATAAAATTGCTTTCAAATATAAAACATAAGTCAACCATAGCTACGACACTCCACGGGCTTAGAGCGACGGTGGGGTTGAACATGAACCAGGTCAAACTCAATGATACCCCTCAACTTAACCTATTGAGTCACCGGTTCAATCTAACCCATTGAGTTTAAAGTACCGAGTCCAAAATCCAAGCCGGCCGGTTCTATAGGCACACAGTAACTACAACTCAACTCGACCTAACTTCGGCTAATTTTCAGGCAATATCTACTTTCTCTTTCTTCCTTCTCTCCTCTCCTAGTCTCCTCTCTCCTGTGTAGCTTCGCAGCTCGACCCCGATGAAACCATTATTTCTCCCGACGAAATAAGCAACGGCGAGAGGGAGATGACGATGGATCCATCGTTCTTGCTGATGCTATCGAACCTCCTCCACCTCCACAACCACCTAGACCCAACTTCCTCTCTCCTATCGGATTCCCATGGTCCATCCACCACCGCCGGCATCTCTCCGACTGCTACCCTCTCCTCCACTTCTGCTGCTCCTCTCCTCTTCTTCACCATCGCCTCCGTCCTCTCTTATGCTGCCTCTCTCCGATCCTCCTCTTCTGCTGCCAACGACCAGAACAAGAACTCTAATAGCAATGACCCCACCGATTACAGCGTCTCTGCCTTCCGAGCCCTTTCCACCGAGCACATTTGGACCATGGAAGCTCCTGTGCGAGATGCCCAGTGGCGATCCTCTTACGGACTTTCATACCCTGTCTTCACCACCGTCGTCGATAAGCTAAAACCCTACATCGCTCAATCCAACCTTTCCCTCCCCACAGATTACGCTGTCGCCATGGTCCTCTCCCGTCTCGCCCACGGTTACTCTGCCAAAACCATAGCCTCCCGATACTCCCTCGACCCGTACCTGGTCTCCAAGATCACCAATACGGTCACCCGTCTCCTGGCCACCAAACTCTACCCGGAATTCATCAAGATCCCCGTCAGCCGCCGTCGCCTCCACGAGACCACCCAGGCCTTCGAGGAACTTACCTCCCTACCCAACATGTGTGGCGCCATCGACGGTAGTCCTGTCAAGCTCCATCGTCTCCCTCCCGATCAGGAGCTCCTCAATCACCCGTCCGCCTATAGATGCCGCTATGGGTTCCCCGCCGTCCTCCTTCAGGTTGTGGCCGACCATAAGAAGATCTTCTGGGACGTTTGTGTCAAGGCCCCCGGCGGCACCGATGATGCCACTCACTTTAGAGACAGCCTATTGTACAATCGTCTTACCTCGGCTGATATCATCTGGGATAAGGTGATCAATGTTCGCGGCCACCACGTCCGCCCGTACATTGTCGGCGACTGGTGCTATCCATTGCTGTCATTCCTACTCACGCCTTTCTCTTGGAATGGCACTGGAACGCCGGCTCAGATTTCCTTCGACGCTGCCCTAATGAGGGGACGGTCCGTTGTCGTGGATGCCATTGGGTTGCTCAAGGGGAGGTGGCGAATTCTGCAGGATTTGAATGTCGGGCTTAACCATGCACCTCAAACTATTGTTGCTTGCTGCGTTTTGCACAATCTATGTCAGATTGCAAGGGAGCCTGAGCCCCCAATTTGGAAGGAACCGGAGGAGACCGGGCCTCCTGCAAGGGCGTTGGAGAATGAGAAGTCATTTTATTATTTTGGAGAAAGCTTGAGGCAGGCAATGGCAGATGATCTACACCAACGGCTTCCATCGAGGTAAGGCGTTCCAGATGTTTCCATCTTTGAATGGAAGGATTATACTGCTGCGACCCTTCTCCTTAACAATGTATTTTCCTTCTAGTTTTAGGCCATTGTTAGATGATAACTGTGTTCTTTTTTTATTATTTTTTCTTTTATTTCCAACTTGTATCTACACTAGAAACGTAGCTTTTTGGGCCAGTCCTATTGTAATGGATCTTTTCTGTACTTGTCCTATTGGGGCAAACTAAGGTAGGAAGGAGAAAATGGAAAGGTGAGAAAAATCAAACTCTGTTGATTGAATTGACCATCATTACCCATACAACCTTAGCTAGAGAGACTTCATTACTCATACAATAGTGGAGTTCTTTCGATCTTGTATTGATATGTTCTCATATATTTTACTTAATGTTCAACTCTAACAACGTAACAACTTGGTTATGAGATTTATTCCCCGTCATATAATTGCATCCTTTAAGGCAAATCTACAAAATACAAACTTGATCTCTTGTAGGTTTGATCATGTGACAAAGTGAAAAATTATTTTACTGGAGTTGTTATGTGGTAGTTATATGTAGTTCAATGAATTTTTTTTTTTGATCAGTAACACTTTCATTAAATCATCAATATAAGATTTACAAAAGGAAGACAAACACGCTTATCTTCCAAGAGCAACAAAGAACCTCAAGAAAAGGAAAAAAAAGAAAAAGAAAAGAAAGAAAGAAAGAAAGAAAACACACTACAGTTACAGCTTGAACAAAAAAAGTGAGTCCCTTTCTGCCCCTTGTTTAGCTAAACCGTCAGCTAGGGAATTAGCCGATCTTTTAACCCAACGTATCTTAACTTCCATCCCCCGC